GATCAGGCCGAATTAATTGTGGTCGAAACTGCTGAGGTTGCTGGGATAACTGTTCAGGTCTATATTGGGTTTGAAGAATCTGAGGTCTGAGTGATTGCTGGGGTGATWGTGGCCGAAATTGCTGTTGAGACTGATGAGGCGGAAATTGTTGTGAAGCTTGTTGAGGGCGAAACTGCTGTTGTGAAAGTAGTTCAGGTCGAAATTGCTGTTGTGATGGACTACTGGGTCGAACCTGTGTTTGTAGTCCTTGATGAAAGGGATGTCGGTGAATTTGAYCGGGCTGAAGTGGCTGACCAGGTCGAAATTGCTGGTTAAATGGTTGTCTGGGTTGGAATTGAGGTGACAGTCCTGGCTGACTGGGTTGTTCAGGTCTAAGATGCAACTGACCTGGCTGAACAGGATTTATTTGTTGGTGCACTGAAGAGGGTGTCAACGAMMSAGGTTGGAAATKCTGGGGGTGAGTGGCTGGTGGGTGTCGAGGGTGGGACATTGRACTCGACAGCCGAGGTTGTAAAGGAACTGGTGACGTTGATTGTGCCTGAGGTCTTGGTGGTGTTGGTAGCTGTCCCATTGGAGACTGAGGTGATTCAGGTCGATGGAAAGGCATCCTCTGACCAGGTACAAACTGKCCTGGAAATTGAGGCCGTACTTGCGAGATCAGATCAGGCTGTGGAGGTCGAACTGATTGAGGGACCTGGGGACGYGTCATTGACTGTCCAGGAAACTGTTGCTGCCCACCCAAAATATCTGGCTGTTGGAAAGATGCAACATGGCTTGGACGCTCTRGCCGTACTTGAGATAGAGAGGTATTTATGCCAGTAGGTTGTTGATTTGGTAAAACTTGATTTTGAAACGGTAAACGTGGTAACCCTTGTGCAGGCGAAACCTGACCAGGGACACTATGTCTTGGAAATTGTCCTGGCTCTGACACTTGCATCTGTCTTTGGCTGTCAGGAAATGGATARGACATACGTGGYRGTGTATGAATGGCTTGATCAGCAGGAATGTGAGTTTGAGGCACAGAATAAGGAAGCGAGGAAGGTGGTGTTGGATGTCTTGGAAGTGACGGTGGGATAGGCTGCCTTGGGACATAATGCTGGGGATGTRCACCTGGAGGCATGTTTGCAATGGATGATGGTCCTATCAAATTTGGTGGTTGTCCAGGAAGGATTGCAATACTTGATGGTGGTGGATGAGGTTGCTGAGGTCTTACAAGATGATCAGGCTTGGCAGCTGATGGTCTGCTSGGTGGCTTAGGAGGCTCTAATAGTAAATGAAAGATTAAATTACATAAAAATACACAACATTAGCTTAAGTGTAAAACTGATAAATTATTGTTGGTAGTAATGGTACCAAGTAAAGTATTTTTTCTTATAATGAATTGCAACAAATATGGATTAATCATTATAAAAAATGTATTAATTGATACTGAACATTAAATGAACACCAACAAAGATCTATAAAATGTAATTAGACACAGCCTTTCCAATCTAAAATAAACTGTTCAGTTGCCTAACCTGTGGCAACCTTTTTCTTCTCAATCAACTTGTCCAACTCTTTGCTGTGATTATCAAARAAATTCTTGCATTTTTCTTCAAGCTTTCTGACAGTTGATGATAGTCGTTTATAAAAATCTACACCACGACTAAAAGAAAAAAATACATAACATTACATTGTGGAAAAAAATATAATTGTCAATAAGATAATATGTTGACTTCAACGTCAACTATATATGTTCGTTATACCTTAGTTTTCCTTGGAGTTCACAAAATGTATTGTAAGACAGAATGAGTGCTTGAACAACCTCCTCTCTCCTAAAAGTAAAGAGATTACTATTTCAATCAATCAAWCAATCACACTGTCTATCCTTAAATAAACTGCCATTCAATGAATGTCRGCAGTTAATAAGAATGTGAGTGAACAAATGAGTGGCAGATTCAACTGCATCCAATACTCTTAAGATTGCTTATACAATCTTTACATTGTTTTAGCTGTAGTTTATGATGCCATCATGGATATCAGTCAACRAACCTCTGTGTACTTTCTTTCACTGCTTGYCGTGTCTTGGCATACTTAGCATTAGCTTCYGTGAGAGCACTGTTTAAGAAATAAACAAAAAGCTCAAAAAAGATAATATGGATGAGTCAGGAAAATTAGTACTAATTATAGCGRGATATACCTTAGGATTTTATCTTGAGCATCTAAGTTAGCTTGGATAAGAGAACAAGCTGTGTCATGTTTCTTTAATTGTTGATCAAAGAATGCCTGGTGCAAAAAAATCAAATTATAATAAAGAAATAAAATGAAATGAAAAATACATTTTAMACCCTTTGTTTGCTTGTAGATTAAAGTCCATAAAACATACAGTASACTATATATCATTCTACAGTATGTAACATTGTCAAATGTCTGCAGATACCATTTTATTGCCATCCCTTGTGACCAACAGACCAGTGATATCATCTTCGTTCAGCTGTGAACAAATAGTTTATTTATTTATTTGAGGCCATTACTGCCAATTATCATGTTGTTATAATGATAACAATAAACGTAATGTACCTTGTTTCTTAGATCTTCCTCAAGTGATTTCCTTTGAACTTTCATTTCTTCAACTTTAGCCTATACAAAGTGGTGTAGGGTGAGTTTTATTCAGGCATACATGCATGACTTTTGTCTTTTATTTCATTATTTTAATGTAATTTAGCTTTTGGCTTCCTTATTTTCTTTTGCTTGCTTTGTTTGTAGCTAAAACAACCTCATATTTTGCAAACATGAATGGTTAAGGTATCTTTAATAGGTATTCTGTTTGCAAAAGATGATACCAAAGACATGAAAATAAAGTCTCTTTCATATTGCATAGTTATTTGAGAACAACAGGTGCCGTTTGTATGAAGGATGGATTAGGTTATCTGCCTGTTTTAAAGTTATTCACTCCTTATATTTTGTATGGATTTTATTTGCTGGATAATGACTTATCCGTACATTTGTTATAATGGTAAAATATGGTACAACTATGTACTTAAAAAATTAAAATTATCTACTTACTATCAAGTCTCTAAGTCTTTGTACTGCACCATCATCAACAGGTGCTAATAAAAACCAAACACAAAAAATAATGTTCATTACAATTTTGTTTAGTTAAACAAATCTAATGCTTCCACTTACAGTCGATTATGTTAAGTGAAGGAAGGGCTGCTAAAAGYTGTTCTTCAGATCCAGCAATAAGCTCTAGGTTTTGTCTGTGAGCTTTATAAACACGRGCCAGTTCATTATTGGTGTGATTCTAAAATGCAAATMATGCAGTATATAAACCACAAAAGGTCTTGCAAACGTGTTCAAAAMCAATTCAYGTTACTTACTGCTTTAGAAARMGCTTCTTGGCACTTSTCATATTCTTTCCTAATGTCTTCTCTCTCTTGTGTTGTTTCTTGTTTTCCCCCCTAAAATTATATTACTTAATATCAATAACAATGGCCGTTTCATTGTAATGCAAGGGCATGCAGCTACCTCTAAAAGTTTGATATGCAATAATTATAGTATCTTACTTGAGCTAATTTTTCTTTCTTCTCATCTTCATCTAACATGGACGAAATACTTTTCAAAGTGTTTTCTACATCATCACTTAGCTTTGATGACTCTGTAATGGAATAAATCATATATACTCATAAAATCGACTTCATTCAAAGCATGTTAGATTATTTATTAATAAAACTATAAAATAATATGCAATACAATGCATGTACCTTCAATGTTTTCCTCTGTCTGTGATAGCAAAACCACATCTTTACTCAAAGTGTCATGTTTTTCTTTCAAAAGTGTTGGTAATGTGTCTGTCTCCACWGGCTGAAGTAAGTCATCTATATGAAGGCTGGCCAGTGATTGACTGTAAATCATAATTTGCAGACTGATTAGTGACTGTCTATAGTACAATTAATGTTTTATAARCAAACAAACTTACGCCAGCTGTTTGTTCTTAACATCAATTGAAGCATTGTATCTTCTGAGAAGCTTTGCTTTTTCCTCACTGAAAAACAATAACAATTTATGATATTACAGTAGTAATGAATGTTATTATTATTCACAATGATAATTTTGTTTATTTATTTAGATATTCATGTATGTAAAAGCAATGTTAATACATGTAGCTATGATGATGTCAATGATTGTTACAGCTGTCAAATCAATGACGATAATAATCCTAGTTTTAAACAATGATGAAGGACGATAACAAGGTTGTTAACTTGTACAATAATGAATAATCTCAAGATTTTGAAAGGAAGCAACAGCAGACAGGATCAAAACACACAAATACTGTACATTGATGGACAAT